TGAAAATAAACTCGAAACGACGAGTTCTGGACGAAGAGTAAGATTTCCAGAACATTTAGACGATTATTGCACGTAAGACACTAATTAATATTTTGTTTCTATCCTTCTTTGTATTTCATAGAATGAAAAAATTTTAGTATGCTTATATATACATATTTATTCCAAAAAAAACAAACAAAATATTTTGCCAATATGTGTATATTCAATTTTTTCTTCAAAAACATCCCAAAAATATTCTTTAAAAATCTCTTCGACGCTGTCGCATGTGCATGAGTTTTCCTTTTTGAAGCCCGCTTTGTGTCTTTACGTGCGTATAAGTGCAATTCCACATGCACTTACATAACCTTTTTTCCGTTTTCGTTCAGGTTCAAAAAGACGAAAAAAGAACGACGAAGTCCAAGATTAACCGAAATTTTCATTCTAGCTGTTTCTCTATTACTATATTGTAGCACGTGAAGAAAGACGACCAGAATCTGCTGAACGTTGAAAGTTATCAGAGGTGTTTACCAGCGACAAACTCTTTGGGGGTTAAAACTTAAGGCTGGCCACGTCCTACGGTCATCACTACACAACTGAGAGAGAGTGACCTGTAGTAGTAAATAAATCTTCAACAGCTCTGTAAGTCTCCGACATTAGATTACATTAGTTTTAATGAATTCACCTAGCTGAAGGCGACCGGTCATGCATCTTGTGGTGTACCAAATATATCAACTCCGAAATACCGATAAAGTTGTTACAAAAATGTAGAGACAGCACATAATATGCCGAAGTATAAATTACATACAAAGGAAGATTTGGGATGTTACTTAAATTATCAGAAGAGGGTGTATCTGAGTACTTTTTTCGCTCAGTGATCCACGGTTCTAAGTAGTTAAAGGTTCTTAATATTATAGAGGCAAATAAATCCTCAAAATAAATAGCTCTGTAAGTCTTTGACATTGGATGCTGACCACATTAGTTTCAATGAATCCACCTAGCTGAAGGCCCCCGGTCATGCACCCGCACACGATCACGAGTGAGAACGCCGTGTTCAACTTCTCGTGCAATCACTAGCCAGTTTACATAAGTTGATTCTCGATGTATTGATAGTTTGTCAACAAATCTTCGAACCTCCTCGCTTTTGACTTTTGATTTCACCAGGTGGGTACGATTCAGTCATCGGTGTTACTGATTAAAGCGTTATCAAACTCCAAACACCTGTGGCATCTTCAATATGATTGATAAAATCCGAGATATGTATAAGGGGTAATCACGTGATGTGGCAGCAAATATATCAGGGTTGATAAGTGAGGACGAGAAGTATGTGTATGCAGCAGTGTTTTTGTGAGCGATAGTCAATCCGACTTACTACGAGAGTTCAGGAACAGAAAATCATGGTCAAAGTATTTTAAACGAAAATTTTACAGTTAGTAATAGCTACTGTACAAATCATGTGAAATTTTGAAAAATGAGAACAATGGGAAAAATTAATTGCAGATCAATTTCATGTTAACTATCTCCACAATCATCATTGTCAAATGTCTACTTAACTTTTCATTTTGGTTAATTTTCTGCCACACAACAAAGCAGCCGAATATTTATTTAAAAAAGCTTATCTGGGATTAAAAGGGATTGAGGTATGGCAATAACAGAAGCCGAATACCTGTAAGGTAATATTCTGTCAATTTCTACTGTTGGAATGGAAATTCATCAAACAGTCCTTGAGGCTCAAACACATACTGACTCAACATGTGACTAGACTAGCCAAGAACGACGGTGATCTTAGACCCCGTCTAATGAAGATAACCTTCCCATCTTCCCACATGGCGGCTGCAGTTCTGGAAGCATTTCGTGCCAACAGACGTCGATTGCCACCTGGAATCCACATGCACCCGGATAGGCCATACGAAGCTAGGACCAAGAACAAAGGCAAGTTGGAGCTGACCATTCCACTTGTCGACTGTCTAAATGATAAAAAAACGTGTAAAGGACAGGGCCTACCAACTCGGCAAACCTCATATAGGTAGGCTACCTGTCCACTCACATAAGGCTCATACAGAAAAACAGGACGACACTCACGCGTTCCAAATTGAAAGCATAAACTGCTTATATATGAACGCCGCGAGTCTACCAAACAAACTGGATGAATTACGTGAACTTAGCAACGCTAAAAGGCCCATCTGATAGGAATATCTGAAACCTGGATATCTTCTCAGTTCTCGGACCAAGAGTTAGCATTACCTGGGATGACTTTGTTCCGCAACGACAGAAAAACAGGAATTGGGGTCGGAGTAGCCATATACATAAGTTCTTGCTTGGAGGTGCACCAAGTTCATAACCTCGAGTTTAACAGTCTTGAGGAATCCATATGGTGCTCTGTTAGATTGTCAAGTACTTCGAGGTGTCTAGTCGGAGTCATTTACAGGAAGCCAACTGCCGACATCGAGTACGATAGTCGTATGCTGGAAGGACTATCCCGCTCTACCCGTCTCGGTTTCACGCACATCCTGATTCTAAGGAACTTTAATCTCCCTAGAGTCAACTTCGCGGAACACACGTACACTGGAGGTGAAAACCCAACTGAAGCTCGGTTCTTCAACCTCATCGATGACTTGGGCTTATACGAAAATGTGAGGTCGGCACCTCGTTGGAGAAACAGTCAGACACCATCGCGCTTAGACTGTGTATTCACAAACGAAGAATTCCTAGTTGACAACCTCTCAATCCTGGCTCCTCTGGGAAAGAGCGATCATGCCGTCATAGCCTTCAGTTTTGTCAGCAAAACTAAGCTAAGGTATCCCACCAATAATTCGCGTTGGAATTTTAAACGGCTGAATGTGCCAGCTCTACATGACTGTCTACAACAGGTGATTTAGGATGTTCACCCTCAACTCGATGTGGACGGTCATTGGGACTTCTTACTGCACACGCTCTTATGTGCTACAAGCCATTCAGTTCCTCAAACGGTTCCCAAAAGCTGCAAGCCACCTACAGTAATCAAAAACCGTACCCTTCGCCTGCTAAGCCGCAAAAGGCACTGTTGGGCGGAATACAAACGAACTGATAACGACGGAGCGTATAGGCAATATAAACATATAAGGAACATATGCACGAAGGCTATAAGAGAAGATAAGCTTCAGTACCAAACAAAGCTTATGGACAAATTTGCCTCTAGCCCTAGAAGCCTATTCCGATATGCGGCCTCTCTTCGTCAAGCTAAAACAGGAGTTTCTCAACTGCTAGGTCTTAACGGCCCGACCAACAACGATGGCGACGCCGCTAGCCTTCTGGCGGCACATTACTCTCAGACATTTCAATCGGCCGACATCAACTTTACTGACGACAGTTTCATATGCAATTCCACAGGACTTTCCGAAGTGGACCTAAGCGCTGACTTGGTGTTCCGGAAATTGCAGCACTTAAGACTAGATACTTCTCCTGGCCCGGATATGGTTCATTCTGCCATACTGAGGGAAGCAACCTCAATCCTGGCAACGCCGCTTAGCGTGATGTTCTCACACTCGCTAAGCCGCGACAAACTACCGGAAAATTGGAAGCTGACTCACATCACACCAGTTTTCAAAGGAGGTCGACTCAATGAACCTCCAAGTTATCGACCGGTGGCTCTTCTGTCATTACCTTCAAAACTCATGGAGCCCCTGATATGCGACGGTTTAAACTACTATCTACTGTCCTTAAATTTCTTCTCACCCCAACAGCATGGTTTCAGGAAGGGTTACTCTTGTATAACCAACCTGCTGACTGCAGTGGACAGATGGACAAGCATCCTCGACCGCAAGGGAAAGGTTGATATCATTTACCTTGATTTCTCAAAAGCTTTTGATAAGGTTAACCACTTGTGTCTTATCAATAAGCTCAAACGACTAGGTATCAAACCACCTCTAATCGATTGGCTTACTTCATACCTAAAAAATCGACACTTTAAGGTTAGGGTTAATTTCACTTTATCTCAGGCTATGGAATGTCCTAGTGGGTTCCCCCAGGGCTCAGTGCTGGGGCCTCTTCTCTACTTGATCTACATAAACGATCTTCCTCAACAGGTAACGTCAGACTTATTACTTTTTGCCGACGACGTGAAAATTTGGAGAGAGATACGCAACCAAGACGATATACAGGCACTTCAGGAGGATCAGACTGGACTTCAAAGTTGGGCAGACGATAACGGACTTACCTTTAACACTTCAAAGTGTAAAGTAGTCCATCCGCGACATGTCGCAAACTACAGTTACAACTTAGGAAACTCCTCTCTAGTAGTATCCCAAGTCGAAAAAGATTTAGGAGTCCTGGTGCCCCATGATTTAAAGTCTTACGCTAACTGTGACAAAAATGCCTTCCGAGCAAACCTTGCACTGGTAACGTTGAAGCGCATTTTTGGACAGTTTGACGGACGAACTTTCCATACAACCTTTAATAGTTTCATCCGTCCACATTTAGAGTACGGAAACATAGTACTCCCCCCTCACTCCAAAAGTACAAGGTCACTTTGGTGCGTATCCAACGGCGAGCCACGAAATCAGTTCGAGGACTCAAATCTAAACCTTACGAAGAACGCCTCCATTCACTTAACCTTTACCCATTAGAGTATAGGCGTCTTAGAGGTGATCTATTAATGGCTTATAGTATTCTCAACACTTGTGGACATCCTCCTAAACACCTACTTAAGCTTAGTTCGAATAATAACTTAAGGGGTAACACCCAGAAACTGGAGACACAATATAGCAAAACGGAATGTAGACATAACTTCTACTCCTTAAGAGTTGTCAAAAGCTGGAATTCGCTGCCGGCCGAGCTAGTCCAAGCGACTTCTCAGGAGTCCTTCAAGAGGCAACTTGACCTATCCTTAAGGACCAAGGACAGCATCACACTATGATTTACCAATTTCTTTTCCTCTTTTATTGTTAACATACCTAGGTTCCTGCCTGGAGGTTTTGGTGATCCCCTGCTACTAGACACGCAAGCTTGTTAAGCGAAAGCTTCTTCTATTCAGTTCACAACCATTTGAACCATTTGGACAAGTGAACATGTCGCGGCATATTGTAAATTTGACCTTGTCGGTTCGGTTGACCTGCTTGATTATTTTGTCGTATTCAACGAGTCAACATAATGTCTGTCCCTCCCCCACCACCTCCTCCTCAGATTAAATCTACCAGGCCACCACCAAAACAGGCCTGCGACTCTTCGGGTCCGGCGTTTTTGGCTGATATTAGGGCCGGCCGAACTCTTAGAAAAGTTCCAGATTCTGAAAAGAAGGATAGGAGTGCTCCTCTTGGGTCGAAACCAACAGGTTAGCTCACCCCTTTTTGGATTGTAGTATCATCTGTACATAGATTCGATTTAATCCGTAAATGATTCACAAAATCTCTGTAAACAAATGAGTAATGACCGCCTTAAGGTGGTCACTTCTAGTGACTTTAAAACAGTAGTTATGCTTGCCTTATCGCTTCACACATTGAAAATACGTATTCGAATCAACATGCAAGAAACTCATGTAGTATATGCGTAGTCAATATTTTCGTTGGGCTATACGGCTGACGAAAGTAAGGTGAAACCAAATTCTGATCACAGGCCGTAGTAAAGTTTCAGAAAGTTTCTGATGGTCCCTCATTTTTCGCATAGTTGGGGTTATATCTTACTGTTTAGCTTAACACAAGTATAACCTGAGAATCCTTTATAGTCTACTACACAAAGTTTCAAAATATCTGGAGTAAGATTTAAGGGTCGTAGATATAATGTAGGTTGGTGCTTGCCGCACAAATAGTTAAAATTGAAATGAATACCCCTGACATATTGAAGAGAAGCAGTTAGACAATATTTGAAAGTGTCTTGCGTATGACCTCAAATATCTGCCTCTATAGGTGATGTTTGTTGGCTTAGAAGCTGGAAAAAGGCGTGGGGCGGTTGAATCATCACGTTGCATCAGTTCACAAAATTATTGACAGTTAATATGAGCCACGTTGGTAGATATAGATTACCTGGTCATCAGTCACGTGGTAACGAGGATCAGTGGTTGAAAGTTTCGGATGATGTAACTTATAATCGTTCACAAGAGCTCATATCCACTCTCTATATTCTTTTCAATCTTGAGTTCCAACATTCTAATGTATATCTTTTCATTTTGTCTTCCCGAACCATATTCTCAACGTTTAGTCTTTATCATTATTTCTGCTGCTACATCATTTCGATCTCTTGCTATTTTTTGTTGGTTTCATCTTGTTATGCTAATGTCGTACGGCAGTGGGTTAACCCATGTCCGTACCACGCTCTACTTTGATGATAATTAATTGGAGACTGAAAGCTAATAAAGACGTTGAATAAGACTGAGTGTTGTTTAAGTCTTGTGATATACAGTGCTTCAGATTCATTTATCCTCGAGTTTCCTTTAAATTATGGGTGTTCTAAGTCTCTACACCCCCCTTTCTCTAGTCTCATCTACTCCTCATGAATTATGTTATTTTATATTTCCTTGACCATTACCTTTGGTATGATTACTTTTCCGTTTTTACCCAGATAATTCTCTTGTTTTCAAATAAAGTGTGGTAATGTTTACCGATATAAATTCTTGCCATTTTTAGTGTCCTTATTAACTGATTAACCATCTTTCCAGATGGTAAATAACCAGTTTGAGATTTGACGTTTTTTCGTGAATTCCACTTAACGTGACTAGCTAATTCCGTGATGAATTGAACAAATTCTAAAGTTTTCATATCATTAATTCACAGAAGTTTAAAACATGTGGTTAAAAGTGTAGTTTCACATATCTTTGAGGAAATCTATGAGAGCTTTGGGATCACTCAACGGTTAATCCTTATGTTCTAATCGATCTTAATTCCCTCAAGTCAGCTGAGTAGTATTGTTTGCTTTCACTCAAGAAGCATGATTTCGAGCCTGGTGGATCATTTTGTACATATTTGGCGATTTGGTCGTGTTGCGTATATTATCATAAGAATTACTGATAAAAAAATATAGAAACTAAATTTCACATCACAGAATTTTCCTTATCGTCTTAAAACCACCTACCAATTGTTATTAAAGATATTTCACTTGGTTAGATGTCTAGTTGGAATTGTTTTTGTGGTATTTTTGTGTTTGTAGGTGCTCGTATTTACAATTTAGATCGACAAAATATTATTATTTATTTATTTATTTCAACACAGATAATGGTGCAAGGAGGCACTAAATACATATGCGCCACACAAATCTCATTTGATATGTGTGAGGGCTGTTGATACTGCCCGGGTGCCCAAACTGAAGCAGGTCGACAAAATATTAATCCACATCACCCAAAGGAAAACCTTTTACATTGTTGCCACACTATGAATTAAAAATCTATACACAATTCGCTACTATTTCAGCATTATTTTAAGGATCTCTGTGCTAATGTGGTATGGCAACTCGAACTGATGTACGTACGTACGAAGTTCTACGTTATTACTGAGTGACTATTTTAAGGAAGGGGCTCAAAATTATTTGCGGAATGCTAACTTCCTAGTATTTCTGTATTTTACACTAGCTAGTGGCCATTAAGGTACGGTTTTCAACCTTTATATAGGACACAAGCCAACTATAGATCTTAAGAGCATTTTACATTTAGTAGTCTTATTTACAAGTAGTTTGCGTCCAACTGCTTGGATTGTAATGGCACATGGTCGTACATGCGTGCATCAGTTTTCTTGGAGTCTACATCCCTTATTGTTAACGCTTAATAAATCTTGGTAATTATTAATATACACGTTTATTGATATTCACTTTTAGTTCGTTGTTTCTTTTCAAAATATATATTTGTACAAATTCTTATTGGAAATATCTTTATTTTTCTGCTTTTACCGCTTCTGTTACTTATTATTTGTTTATCAAGATCAAAATAATGAAGACAGTGCTTCAGGTCCACCAGCACCTGCTAGTGGAAATCTCCCACCTGTTGGTCTTTCAAATATTTTTGCAAATGGTGTACCAAAATTGAAATCTGTTAGTTCGGCAGATGTTGGGCGTAATAATACGGTGCAGAATTTATCCACAAAACCATCTAGTTATGGGCACGTGAAAAGTCCTGCACCTCCCCCTCCCCCTCCCTTATCTCCGTCTACTGCAGCGTCTGTAGCTCAGAATAACTACTCGTTGTCAACTACTCCTTATACGCTTTATCAACATTCGGCTCCAACGGCAAATAATAATGCTACAGTAAGCAAGACTTCTTCATTCATTTAGTTTTACGCTGTAAACCTCTTATTGTTATAATATGGATGACTTTAGAAATATTCGGTCATTTTTCCTGTTTGTTGACTTGTAGTGTAATTAAAACTTAATACATGCGACTATATATTATGTTAAGTAAAGTACCAAACTAGTCTGAGATTGAACTTTTTTCTAGTTATTAAAGTAGCTGAATAGTGTCTTTAGATAGTTAGCAGTAAAGTGGAATGCATTTTACGAGGGTTATAAGGTTCGCTAACTTATCAGATATATGGTAATGTTTTATGATTATTTCGTATTCTTATGCTTTAAATCACAAACTGATCTTAGTCGGGCCACTGCTAAAAGCTTGGAAACACTGAACGGTCGTTCCGTCTTAGTGTGGGACTCGCCAGCGTCCTGAAGGTTAAGCATCCTCGTGTGAGACCGAGCGTCCTGGGTTAGATTCCCGGGTGCGAGGTCGTCAATGGGCACTGCTGCAACGTCTTATAATAAGACTAAACAGTCATCCAGTGCTCCCTGGTTTTTAGTGATTGTATGACTAAGATTAGTTCGTGATTTAAACTATGGAAATTCCACAACCTCCACAAAATCCTATGCTGATATTTCATGTTTATAATTTATCTGAGTGGGGTAGTTAAGCGTGTTGGTGAGTTTTCATCTAATTGGTTTGTCACATTAGCTCCAACAAAACGCAACGTAATCACTTCAAACATCCAAAGGAATTACGACCCTAATCATTAATAGGTTTACTAACCGTTATCGCTTTGGGTCTTCGAGACGTACATACTCCTCCCTCCTCTTGCCGTGTACTGCACAACGGTGATTGGGATAGTATTATTATCGGAGAAATTTTTTGGTTAACAAATGAGGACATGATATTGACCTGCGAAGTGATTGACTGATGGGCTGAACCACATTTATAATTTCAATTCTACTTGAGATCCACAGGACAGTCCTAATAAGTGGTTAGTAAGGTTAAGTGACGATTCAAAATGGTCTCGATGGGTTGAGTTTATTTAAATATATCACATGTCATATCAGGGTCAAATGGTAGGTTGGAAATCGTAGGCAGGATACACTGTTGTAGGATGTGTTGATTACTCCTCTAGTAAAGTCCTCAACCTATATGTTCTCGTCAGGGTTGAAGGAAAATATGTATATTTACTCATAATTCATGTACATCTTATTCACGTTGCCAACCACTGCCCCTTAGTTATTTCTAGTTCCCTTACGTGGCAGATTTGATAAATCGTATAAGAGGTGCGTGTATATTTACCCAAATTAGACAACCGTGAAACGTTACGGATCACAATGTGGTAAATGTTTACGTTCTTGACTTTCTTCTTCGAAATTCCGAGCGTAGCATCATTTCATACTTTAAAATGTTTCTGACACTATTTTCCATCATCTATGTTTTTCATTCTGTTAATTTTCTGTTTCACTGCACACTGACTTGTGAGGTATGACACAAATAACTGATACAAACATTTGTGCTAGGTCCCACATTAGTGATGATTGACAGTAGGAAATCAGTAGAGTAGTTTGATAGTTGTAACGGTCATGTAAAATAGTTTAGATGCTATTTGTGCTGGCCGGTTCACTTTAGGATGTACGTGGAGATCATTCTCAAGGGTCTTTTTTGAATGGTGTGGGGTAAACCGAATAAACTGAAATGTGAACATGAGCCAAGCAAATTGAATGGTTTATGTAGTGTACACATCATAAACCAATTAGATCGATTGTCATTTTCCGTTTGTCTTTCGCAGATGTTACCTTGATGTGGTGGTCGAGAATGCATATCATAGTGAGCTAATCTATTTAGATTGGCTGAAACATTCGTTCCTTTAGGTCCTACCATGCCATGCAGGTTGGTTGGATAGTGGTTAGACTAAAAGCAGCAAACTCATGCCCCGAGAGCGAAGTTTTGTTACTGGCTGTATAGCAGTGTAACGGCCAAACAAACAACATCTACTATATAGCCTTCTTACAATAGAAAGAAGGGGTTAGGAAATGTTGGTCATAAAAATGTTGCACTTTGCCTTGACTCACAGATTTATTTCTCCGATAGTGAGGGCCTAAACCAATGGAGCTGACTCATCCAGAACTACTAAAAGAAGACAGTGTGTGACCGCCCTTAAACAGTAATCCTTTTGGCTCTGGAGTAATGCTCCTAAGTCGCTAACACCAATATTAACCCGGTTTACTTTCTAGGTTCATTTATAAGAGATATTCATTCAGTATGGGCACCGGGGAAGTAATAATCGCCCTCATACCTCCAACAGCAAATACGATCACCTTGTTCATAATCAAACCCTATCTCCTTGTCACCTATATCCCACATCATTATAACGAAAAAGGGAATTAACAAATTAAGAAAAAGAGACGAAATAATTGTAATTGCTATGGTAGGCTCATCGTGATGAATACAGTTAAAGAACGAATAAATAAGGTTGATAAATGGAAAGTTAGAAATGATACTTAACCCCAATATTTGTAGAAAGATACAGAAAATGAAATGTAATTATTCCACTGTGCAACCGAGGTTTCCCCATTTAACTTAAATTGCATACTTTTTGATATGTTTTGTCCCATCAGCCAATGAATTCCGTAAACTGATTTTGAGATGATGGAGAAGATTTGTAGCTCAGGTGGATGATTTTGGTCGAGTTTTGTTCTCTGAGCTGGATGGTTTGGTCGCGGAGCTTTCGTCGTTCTTCTGAACGACATCATCAGCACAAACTTCAGATAGAAGTGAAGTGTTCGAATTTCTCCATATGCGTTTCACAGCTTGTTCTGTACACCTCGGCGTTGATTGGTTCTTATTTATTTGAACACATAAATATTGGTACAATAGAGCGCCAATATATATGCGCCACACAAAACAATGGGAATTCGAAGAGAAGTAGAAAGAAGAAAAAAAACAACTAAGGAACGCAAAAGAAAAAGAGAACAATGACGAGGAGATTGGAGTAAGGTAGTGTGGTAGTAACGACGGAACGAAAAGGTACAATCAGAAGAAATCTTTCAGGTAAAGGAGACACAACCACTTTTTATGAAGAAAGTAAAAGAAGGTTACAGCAGGATCGCCACTGGCTTTTATTCTGAGCCATATCTGATAACGTCTCTAGCCACTGTGTAGCACCATCTCTCGGACCCCAGCCAGGGAGTCGTGAAGGACCAACACAAGCCAGTCCTTTGCAGCTTTCTTTCATGCCATGATTGGTTCTTACTGAAGTTTGTGCTGATAATCTCGTTCAGAAGAACGATGAAAGCTCCGCAACTAAACCATCCAGCTCAGAGAACAAAACTCCATCAAAAAGTAAACTGATTTGTTGTCTTGACTTGTATGTCTGTAGATATTTCGTTGCATGCCATAATATACCATCTAATGTTGCATATTAGACATTGCTTGCTACTTCATTTAATTATTCGCTAGAATATTTTTATCACTTCAATTATTGGTGCTTTTCCAAGTTATGGTTACATTTTTAAAACAAACTTTTCATTCAAAAATGAAGTGAACTAATTTCTCATAATAAAACTATGCAATAAAAAAAATACACGAGAGAAGAAAACAAAAACAGTAAACCTAAAAGCAAATGTCAAACTGTGCTAGAGTTTACAGTCTTTGACTGCTGCGTCACATTGAACGATAACAAAATTCAGTAGATTAATTAGGTCATTTAAATGTAAATACAACTAGACTTAGGCACAGATGACATTTATGTAAATCTATTGTACTTTAAAATGAGTCTTCATCTGCATAACTGTATGTATGAACATGAATTCCTACATGTTATTCAGATAATATTTACTTTTAATTAATATTATATCATTGACTTATCACTGAATTAGTGATCGATCGTCTCATTACCTCTTGAACTAATTAAAACTAGACATGTAAATCATTCTATATCAACTCAACTGTCCAGATGGTGACACGCTCACTATAAAACCTACAAGTCTTACGTTCGACCCCTGATATAGTTTCAGGTTCACACTATTCAGTAATAGTCCCATAATAGAACTAGGCAGCTGTTTAATACTCAATAACTTTCGGTGACACTCTTCATCTGAAATCAATCTGTAACAGATACAACGTACAAATTAAAATTCATCTTCACGAGACTTTTCAACCAAAATTGATATGTTTTTTTGTATTAGGGTATCATTACAAGTCTTTTGTCATACTTCTCCAGATAATCAGTTCATTTGAATTTCTGATTGTAATAGTAGTTCTTGCTAGTCAATGGAAGGTGTCTTTTTGGTTATTTTAAGAAGTAATTATTATTTATTATCCTACTTTTGCAATTGTAGTTTAGTGTTTTGTATATTCGATTTCTGATGTGGATAATATTTTACTCAATAAACCTATCTAATTACCCCCCCCCCATTCGGTTTCCAAATATTTACATGGTTGCTGGATTCAACGTCTTGGTGCTCGAACACCCTGTTTTTTCTATGGGATGTGTGTGAACAGTTTGCTTCACCTTTCAAAATGTTTATTATCATCATTTCTAGGCAGAATACATATATTCACTTTTCTTAATCTACTCCTGTCAAACTAACTAACAATTTCATTAATAATTATCATAACAATAGCCATATATATATATAGTTTAAGGAATATATACTCGTGTGGTTTTTATTCCTCACTGTCTAACTAATGATAGTTTGTATTAAATTGCAGTACGCTTTATTACCTAAGTAACTTAGTTTGATTGCACAAGATATATGTTTACATCTTTTCGCTCTCCCTAATAACTATGCACAGTTGTTTTTTTGGATACATCTAAATTCACTTGCGCTTAGTGTGTGTGTATGTGTATACTTATTCAGCCAATTTATCTGTCTACATTTGTGTGTGAAGGCCGTTCGTAATGGATCATCAGTACCAGCACCGGCAGCGGCTCCTCCGCCCCCAACTCCTGCCAGACCGTCGATTTCAAAGAGCAATTCTAATTCGTCGTCTCACAATAATAATAATAATAGTTATCCTAGGTACAGTTTTTATAAAAAACCATCTGAAGATAATCAACCAACACCACCTGTTGTTCCAAGTTCACCTGTACAAGTTATAATGCTTTCTTCAATACCAGCATCATCAACATCATCAGCATCACCCTCATCACAACCAACACGAGTAACTCCTCTTCAGTTAGGAAGTGCAGCTAATGTACATGAAAATAACATTAATGTTAGTAATAGTAATAATACTGTTAATAATCTGAATGGTACTACTACTACTACTATACCTCCACCTCCATCTGGACGTTCTCCTCGACGGAAACAAAGTAGTTCAAATCGATATCAGGTAGGTAGTTGTGTGCATAAATCTATCTGTCTATACGGTTTTTTTCCTTTTAGTTACAAATCATTTTTAAAAAATCGTTTTTAACAGGATAAAATTTCATAACTTATGTCCAGATATATTTATGTTTCATTTCGTCGTTGTGGATTCCGCTTCTTTCTTCACTTATTGTATTGTATACTTGATTGTTTGTTGAAAAAACAACATTCCATTTTATTGGTGTGCACGATTTACACATTTTTGTTGTTGTTGTTAAATATTACGGCTTTACTTACAAACAACAGTACAGTTTTGATTTGTGTGATTTCTTTCCTTTTGCAGTGTGCATTTAATACAGTTCATTAACCGATAACGAATAATATTAGATTTTTGGCTGATATTTCAATTGACAAGTTGACATTTGTAAACGTGCATTTGATGTTTCTGTTTTGTTTTATTTCGACATAAAGCGCGCCGGTTCAACAAACTCAGATGTAAATGGTATACCTGTTGGTCAATCAACTAAAGTGATACGTATTTCATCAAACATTAATGGAAGCTTAACTGATTTGCCATGTGCACCATCTTCTAATATAAATCCATATTTACCTTCATCTGTGTATGATATGAACAATTATACAATGAATTCACGTGCACATCCAACACCACCGCCTCCACCACCACCACTTCACCAACCATCATTATCTTCAATGGACAATTACAATTATGATAATAATATCACTAGTCTTGTTCGTCATTTTGAAAGTCGTTTTACTTTTCCTGATATTGGAAGTGTTCCTGTTCCAAAATCATATCATGGTCCTAAAACTTATCGTGTTGGTAGTATTAATAGTAGTATGAATAACAGTAATAACATCAACGACAATTACCGTAATCAAGGTAAGCTTATTTATGTGATTAGATTTCCCTTAATGGTTAACTTAACTATATTCAATTGACTCATGATCTCAACTGTTAAAATTACTATAATATCCACAAAACCCTCCTGATATTAATCAACATATGCTCACTAGTGACTGGCTTCAAGAGGTATTTCGTGGAGTTCTATTGAGAAGCCGTGACCAGTGGGGTTCAACCGGGTCAATTGCGAGATAGTAACTCACTAAAAACAATGGTGGATGTGTTTCTCAATTTCGTGGATTAGTTGAGGCTAGACATTAACACCGTTGGATGCCGGCTTAGTGGTCTAATGGTTAAGCGTTCGCGCGCAAGACCGAAGGCCTTGGGTTCGATTCCCGCCATCAGGATCGTGGAGTCTCATACTAGGACGAATCGTCCGTCCAGTGCTTCCAGATTTTCCATCGTGGTCTGACATCAATTGATTCATGGTCTCAATCAAAAAAAGGAATTCTTTCAGTTAAAGAAGTCCCTCCTACTTTTATGAAAAAACGTCAGGTAAAATTACTGTACGATCACGACTAACTTCTATTCTAAGCTTGATAACGTCTCAAGTCACCGTGTAACACTATGTCTAAAACCTCAACTAGGGTATCGTGAAGGGCTGATAGATGACAGTTCTGTACAGTTTTCTTTCATATCATGGTACCATGTCATAAACTGACCATCTCACTGCTTTCTCCAACCAGTCCCAGGGTTGGCGGCTAATACACGATATGGAATTCACTGGGACGACATTTTAAGCACACGTTCAAATAACAGAAACTTGTTTTTCAGGATAGTGACACTAATTAAATTGTCGTCACTGTACCCCAGCACACATTAACGAAATTCTACATCACTGACATGGTATTGTTACTGAATGTCAGCAATCCTTCAGAGACGACAATGATCAAATACAAAGAGTTGTCTGAATCGTCGACTCGGAGAGGCTAGACTTCTTGATCAATAGGAAACTGACGTGATTTAGGTTTCATGGTAGGCGGCAATCGTCAACAAGTTTGTGTGTTTAGTAACAGTGAAGAAACCGATACTCCACATTGTAGAATTCAAACTCACAACATTAAATGTCACAATAAAAATGGATGTTCAAGTTGTTTGTCTCAGGTTGTAAATAAGTAACTTGTTTAATAAACCTAAAATTCAGCAATAAAATGAGGCACATAAAATAATGTGAAGGAAAAAAATGAGGGTGGGGGAATACAATGAGGAAAAGAGTGATGGAACAACAATAGTGTGTATTAGATGATACAGTTCAGTTAACGATACAATCAAATTAATTGAGTTACTCTGCCTTTTACAAAGAGTGTAAAAAAAGAATTTCATCAGAACTCATGAAATGATTCTATTTTGAGTCATGTATATTAACGTTTTAAATCACTGAGTCATACTATCTTTAGAACCCAATCTTAGGAGTTGTAGTAGATCAACAGATGTCAGTCCTATATATCTATCCTTCATAACAGTTTCAAGTTATCAACTGATCACCTGGTCCCTAAATGCCCTGGTATGACTGAGGGTGGGGAAAGTCAGCTCTCCCTCTCGAAATGCTCCCACATGGCCACGTGCATACAACCACTGCCAGGGAAGTCTTACTCACTGCCTTCTTGTGACGGGGGTGTTGTTTACGAAATTTAGAGGATGAGAAGCGAACGTTAGACGCTTTAATGGTGTTAGTGGACACGGAGAGTCCACCTAGGGTAGTTGGAAAACTGTGATTCCAAACTAATGGTGCACATGGGCTCCAGTATCCTGAAGGAACAAATGGCTTATGAACCAATTGTTGGTCACCGACCACAATGGGACTGCATCTCCTTACGTTTCTCTACTGTCTTGTAGATCAGACCTTTAAGTCGAAGGTTCCGAGTGTGGCCCCCTAAGAAAACCATCTACTTCAGTTGGACTGTTTTCATATAATTTTCAATGTATAATTAATTCCCTATGTTGATTTTTATATATTTCTCTGTCTCTCTTCAATTATAGTGCCTTATCGAGTGGCTCCTGCAGCACCAAGAAATTACTAAAAACTCTTCTTTGACTTGAATCAATTTTTATGTTTTTTTTTAAAATCTTTCAAATTCGATTGACAACAAATAAATGGCAAAAATGTTTACCTGTATTTGGTGTGTTCCCTTGCCGATTTCAATACTACTAAGAATAGTAGTATCTATCTATATATATATATTGTGATTCATAAAAGAAAACTATTCATACACATTACAAATTGTGATTAATTCTAATTTCCCTTGACTGACTTCTCCTCTTTTTCTGTACTGTTCATTTTATTTTCTTAATTGAGGTTGCTTTTTTTTGAGAGAGAGAGGGGGGGTTAAAGAGACAAATTGTTTCTACCCTTCTGCTTTTTCTTTTACAATGCTACATTTTCCATGCTTCAAAACAGCGTATTGTACACAAGTACTACTGGCGTCCGTACATATATATATGTATATGTGCGGTACATCTTGTGTACTTTTAGTACCAGTAATAATAATAATAATAGTATTGGCAGTTTCAATAGTATCCCCTTTCCATTTATTTACTAATCCTATACCTTCATCATTTAGTTCAAGTTGTATCTGTTTGAGAAAAACCAAACAAACAAACAAGCTATAAACAGAATAGTCTGTGATCTAGAAGAGTAATTCTTCACTTATTCAAGTATATTCTCATATATACACATATATACGCCATATATAGATAGATAGATAGATGTAATGATTGACATCACGGAAACGTCTTCCATTCTATCCCATCAGAAACTTGTTATACAATCTGTGTTTCAATTGTTGTTGACTTGTTTTCCTTTTTTTTATAAAAGACTTCTTGTTTTACACTTCTTATTGCTATCATTATTTTATTACGTAATATGTATTGTTTCATGTAATATTCATTGAGAAAACGGCACAAACAACTACCAGTGTTGTGTTCATGAGGATCAGTATCCAGAAGACCACGACGATTCATAAGAAATAATAATAATAATAATAATAATTTCTTTCTTGTTTTTTATGTCTTTTGTTTTTCGTTTTGGCTTTTGAATTAGTTTTTTTTTGACAAAAATTGCCAGCTTAGTTTAGTTTTGTTATTGCATTTAGTTTTCTTTTTTTTTCTTGTGTGGGGAGATGAAGTGTGGGTTAGGTTGTGAAGGAAAATTGGAAGAATTTACACTTGTGTTTTATTCTGTTCCTTCGCCTCACACATCATTCCCAAGTTGTTTCACATACTTGAATGATGAGTATGCATGGAATGTTGTTTGAGTCTTTAGTTTTATGGTGTAAATCACAGAGAGATCTTCATTGAAAATCAGGAAATATTGGATAGATTTCCCATCCTAGAATAGAGACTATTCAACTACTGACTAGTTTCGAAATGTAAATTACTGAGTTCTGATAAGAAACTGTAACCAGTGGAGTTCAACTATGCCTGGTGTGAGGCAGTGAACCACCAATGATATTGGAAAATTGTTGGATCTGTTGTGGTTGCAAATGTAAACTAATATATGCTGATTCACTGGTTTAAAGATTAAGTATCCATCGACAAACCCATGAGTCCCGTGTCCGAACCCTGGTCTTTTTGTGTTTGAGCACCACTGAGGGGTTCCAAACTGGGACGAAATAACTGTCCAATGCTTGCTAGTTTTCAATCGTTCTTTTACTATGGTTGCTTTGTGATATAAACCAAAAAAAAACAATCTCTTCATGCGAATAAAATCAATCAACTATGAAACATACTATCAGGATTACTCTTTTTGTCTAGCCTTCACATAAGTTAGAGCATTGTGGCTAACTATCTAGTGCACTAGCATTGTACACAATTGCTTAAATGGAGCTTATGTTGATCTTTTGTGTTCTGATTCACTTGGAGAATTAAATAGCTTTTAGTTGGCAATTCATTTTTTTGTAAGTGGTCACCAAAAATTTTGCTACCCTTGTTTAAGCTAGATGTTCTAATTGCTCAGCCTTCGTTGTTTCGGTGATTATCATTTGTGTCTTACTTCATGTAGTGATTTTTTATCACTTAACAGAAGAGTTTTGTCTCTTGATCTTGTCTCAGCTGAATATGAAAATGATCAAACAATGAGTAGATAAATAAATGACCAGTTCGTAGGTTCTGTTTGTCAGGGACTGATCTTTATTAGGTCACCCACAGGGAATGAGATGTGATTCGTAGGGTTCAAACATTTCGGGAGTGAAACAGTGGTCACTATCGTCACTAGATAGACGTTCCACTATATCTCACATTGAGGAAAGTCGAAATCATACCATTAAATGCTGGTTCAATGTTTATTGTGATTAAACATTCAATTTAAGACCTGAAGGTCCTCAGTTGGATTCCTGATGGGATCATAGTTGTACAACTCTGTGGACTATCATTCCAAGGCGAAACAGCTATATAAACCTTCCTGTTTTGCAATGGTATCTCAATTAAGAGCAATCTGCTCCGAAAACAACATATGAATTCAATCTTTACAAAACGTAATAAACTAGCTTTTTTATTCAGATTCTTTGTTTCGATAACAATTAGACTCATTAAATTCAATCACACTAGTTACTTTATCTAAATATAATGACTTATTGTGATAAGAGAATTATCTTCAGTTTATCTTATGTCAAACAGGAATAATCATGTATGAACCATAATAGGATTAATGGAGTGTTTTAGAATAATCGATTTGTAGATGACCCTCAGAATTACTCTCGGAAAGAATTAGTTTTATCAAACAAAAGTTACATACATTGTTCAAGGTTCATAAGTGGTATAAAATGAGTATTCATAACTGTATCTTTCCCCAGGCTTTATATTACATAATTTCATTTTACCAAACGGAAACCGTACTGTCAAAGTTATAAATAAGATCCTTATTTAGGGTTTTAAAAGTACTGGATACAACCACTTTCAAGCAGAGTTGGATAATGGTTGGCAGTTGAGTCTGGTACGTGCAATTCTTCCTATTTGAGGCTCGTCAGCCGGATGTTTATCCGCTCGTGTCCATGTTCTTTTTGGGACTCGAACCCAGTGTTCTACTTTAAACGTCTAGCACACTGTCTACTTAGTCTTCGAGTTCAAATAGCCACTAGCTTGTGTAACATTATATACAATGTTTAGGGGGTAACAAATAATCTAATTGATTAGAAAAAAACCTGATTAAAGAGTGGCACACCCTCTATCGTTCCTTGGTCTGATGACAAAAAGTTGCGTGATACTGGCCTTAGACAATTGTCTCTTGGGCTCTGTGATCATGTTATACTATTGATGAAACTAGCAATACTAATACTGTTTTTTATTTATATCCGCCAAGAAAAAGCATTTCCTTCGGTTTAATTCAAAACGTTTGGAAAGATCAATGAACTTCTACTGAATTGATAACTGCTTTGAAACTCATCCCAGCACTCTCTGAAGACAATAAAGAAGTGGTAACATGTCGGTGTCAACTGCGTGCCTCTCACGATACTCAACATATTTTTGTTTATAATCAAACCTCTAGTATTTCTTTTCCAGACTAGATAAGCAATTCTTATCTTGTTACGCAAGGAGTACAAAAAGTGTATTTTGTTGACTAGACAATCAATTGATTACTGAGTGGAAACCAATTTCATTTCCGTATGACCTTTAGTTTTCGAATTTTATCGACCGAGTTTCAACGTAGCCACTAGTCTCAGTGACTTGACATCGTGTGCGCCATATTGACATATTGGGTGGTTAGATATGGTTGACAGAATATCCTAAACTTAGGTTCCATGCTATTTGGCACTTGTCATTAGCTTCACAGTCTATATTGCGGATTCGAATCCACTAGAGAGCATCATCTCCCTTACTGATGAGTACCAAACAGGGCGAAAGCTAGCTTCACGGCTTCCTATCGACCACCCTCAACCATCTATCATCGAAGAGTATCCATAGTTCTTTCTAACCCGAGTTTGTATATATAACCTGAGCAACCATATTGTAATTGGCAGAGTTAAGTTTTAAATCGTTATTAAACACTGATATTTCGTCTGATTTATAATAATAAAACTATTATCTATTTATGTAAATGTTTAATTATAACTCATCGATTTGCAGGTATACTCATACACATAATGGATTCACAAATAAGAATAGCAAATAACAGTGAGACTATAATCTATGAACGACCTTTGAGCGATGGTAAAGTGACCTTGAGAGTGTTCACCTAATAACCAGGACCAAATGAAGGTTATAAACCATCATGAAGAATTAGAATTATGATTTACAATTGATGGTTAAGGTTAGGAATTAGATTTGAAGTTTTCATCACGAATTGACATCAGTTGAAATGCCAAAACGCTATTTAACCAAATGGATGAATGAATTTCGCACCAAAATTCATGACCTGTTATCTTATACCTGGTTGGTTTGTTCATGAATTATAATCTCGCCATGATCACATGTGATCATTTGATCAAATTGAATAAATATATTTCAATAGTTGAGATCATGAGCCAATTAAAGTTAGATCACTATGGAAAACCTGGACGCATTCGAAGACCGTCTCGTCCTATTGTGGGACTCCTCATGATCTCGACTATTGAAATGACCATAATATCCACAAAAACCCTTTCTGATACAAATAGATTTCAATTGTTATATGTTATTGAATATAATAAAGATTAAAGATAATTACATTGTTTAGTTGTCCAATTCTAAACGTATCAGCTGGATGCACACTGGAAGTTAATATTCAACTACTAAGTCTAGATAATTAATAACTTATTCTCCAGACAAAAAAGTTTACCTTGTGGTTAGTATGAGTTAGAATTAACTAGACTTAATAGACAACGCGTTACCATTTGATATGGGATGTGAAATCTAGTATGATCATCAAAACTGTATTACAAATTCATTCTATTGATGAATCCGAAATAGGACAAAACATACATCTTAGATTCCACTGCCATTCACAGTTTATCTTTAACTATTAAGACGATTCAATCTGCATAGAGCTTATATATGTCAACAAAGACTAATCAGAATTCAGTCCTAACTATCTTTACTAATGATGATATAATTCGATTATATCTTGTATAATCATCAAAATACACCGAGATCTCTCTAACGTTATAATAATATTGGAACATAATCAGCGAAGTGAATAAGTATGGATTCTTATAAGTTTTTCCATTGATACAATTTATTCACAAGTTATGTAGATTTATATCATATACAAGAATAAGTTTAATATCTATGTAGATTTTAATAAAAGTTACCTTGTTAGTCTTATATTTATGTGTTATGAAATTCTTACTAGCTTACTTACACCTGTTACCCCTAATGAAGCATAGGCTGCCGACTAGCATTCTTTAACCCACTCTACCATGGGCCCTCCTTTCCAATTCTTGTTCATTCTTCTCATGTATGTCTCCATTTCTCGGTGTAATGTGTTCTTTGATCTTCCTCTTCTCCTTTGACCTTGAGGATTTGGACTGAGGGCTTACCCTGTGACACAGTTGAGTGCTTTCCTCAATGTGTTTCCTATCCACTTCCAGCACTTCTTCCTGATTTCTTCCTCCGCTGGAATCTGGTTTGTTCTCTCCCACAGTAGGTTGTTGCTGATAGTATCAGGCCAACAGATCCGAAGTATTTTGTGTAGACAACTGTTAATAAACACTTGTATCTTCTGGATGATGGCTTTCGTAGTTCTCCAGGTTTCCACCCCATACAGTAGAACTGTCTTGACATTTGTATTGAAAATTCTGACCTTGATGTTGGTTGACAGTTATTTTGAGTTCGAGATGTTCTTCGGTTGTAGATATTCTGTTCTTGTTTTGCCGATCCACGCCTTCACATCTTCATCAGATCCACCGTTTTCATCAATAATTGTCTAACAGAAGCACCTCTGGAGTGAATGGAATGCTCGTTATAAGAAGTCATATTTACTAAATTAACGTAGGGGTTTTCCTAATACAAATAATTCATTTTAACAATCATGTTCGCCTAGGGTTGAGAATGGAATAAAGGAGTTGTTTTTCTTTTCTCTTTTTTGTTT